ACGTACTTATAGGTTAGGTTAGGTACGTACTACGTACGTATATATACTATACGTATAGTACGTACACACAGAGAGACGACAACAACCAACCCCCCCACCCCCACCCACCACACACACACACACATAGTATATATATATATATATATATATATATATATAAGGAATGAGATTCTGTCAACTCACGGGTTGACATCTACAGTGTCAGCCAACGGCTCAGATTCAATCTAAGCCGATCTGATGGTCACAACTTCATTTTGTATTTGAATTTTCATTTTTTTTTCTATAAATCCAAATTATTTGAAATTTTAGGCATTCATTCTTCTCATCAAGGCGCACCTAATAAAAATATTAAAGAAATAATTCGCAAAATAAAAATTGACCAAAGTACCCCTGAAAAGTTTTGGGGGTATTATAGTCAATTAATATTTTACTAATTATTTTTGTTTATATTTTTATTAAATTATCCTATTTTTAAAGAATAGACGTTAAAAATTCAAGTGATTTGGATTTGTTTAAAAAAATGAAAATTCAAACACAAAATGAGGTCGTGACCATTAGATCGGGCTTAGATTCAATCTGGGCTGTTGGTTGATAGGGTCCTTTCCCATATGTGTGTGTGTGTGTGTGTGTTTGTGTGTGTGTGTGTGTGTCTATGTCTTTGTTTGTGTTTGTGTTTGTCTGTCGTAAGTAGAAACTGTTGATGAAGAGACCTGGGGCTTTGGTGCTATGTCAAGCGAATTATTCCAGTGTATGCTGTATCTTGATTCCTTAGAATGTACCTGAACATCGGAACCCTCACTCTTTTGTGTGAGGTATTCTTCTGTTGAATCAAAGTGCTGCTTCATTATAACATCAATTGAGTGCAATAGTTCTTGTGAACTCCTTAAAAATAGCAGAGACCACTGACTTGTACGGCATGAAATATGTTCATGTTGATCTGGAGAAATCATCAACATGATTAATGTAAGATGTCTTATTAGATTTCGTTTCTGTGGCATAGGAGCCTCAAACATCTGAATGTATTATATATATGATCTGAGACCTGCTTCTATCTTTATTTTGAGTAGTTTAAGAAGGAGGAATAACAATATTTTAACCTCCCACTAAAGAAGGGTATTGCACTTTGTCAATGTAGCGATGGGAATTGAACTGAGGAAAAGATATAGCATAAATAATGAAAATGAGGGTGTCCCAAATGAGAATTCCATGAAGAGTAGCAGGAGCTAACATGAGATATACTAGCAGGTTTGGAAATGTGATATATGGCAATGGATTTGTAACATTTGAAGTTTCCATGCGTAGTTTGGTTGAATTGGTGGTCTAAGTAGATTTTTTTCTCTATATCCTGTGCTTTTTCGGGAATGTCAATTTTTCTCTTGAGTTTTTAAAGAAGATAATTCTCAGTTTTTAAGGAAGATGATTCTCTTACAGGATATTTCTGAGGCCAAAGATTTCTTGAAGCAAAGAGGAGTTGATGTGGGTGAAGGCTAAGGCTGATGGAAAGGATGCCCTCTTTGACCCAATGATGGGAGAGAAAATGCTAAACCGTTGATGGTTCGAGGTTTTGCCTTTAGAGAAAATGCTAACTGTTAATGGTTCGAGGTTTGTCTTTAGAGAAAATTGTAACTTTTAACAGCTCGAGGTTTTGTTTTTATATCATTTTTTTGTTGTTTCTTTTACCAGTTTTTGGTGGTTGTCTAATCAAGGCTGGTACAAGGACTATTTTTCATATGAGTGTTAGTGTTTGGTTACTTTACTTCTGAGTCGGTATTTTTTAGTGTAATGGAGGGAGTATATGTGATAGAGTTCATTGTTAGTGACAAAGATTGTAATTTGATTTGAGGATGGAATCAGTGTGGAAAGCGGTTACCATACGAGGAAAAGAGTTGCTTATCGAATTTTTTTCTTGGAATTTCGGCTGGGTTTTGGGTTTGAGTTTTTAAAAATATGAAACTAAGGGCGGCGTGTTTGCAGCTTCCAATAAGGGGCCCTTCCTAAGAGGGGCGTGGAAGGCCACGCTCCCATATTTCGGCTTCCACACCATGCAACAATAATGGGAGGCTTGATTGGTGGAACTTGGATCTCCTGCTTCCAAAAAGTTCCACGAATCAAACACGCTACAAAATTGGGGGCCGAAGAAATCAATCGAGAGCATTAACCTAAGGGACAAACCGAGGCCCTAAACAATCAAAACAAGGTGCACACTCAAATAGTGCTGAAATATGTTGTTTTAGTATAAGAAAATATTCATGATGACCTAAGAATTTATTTTCCTCTCTATTGAAATATTGGGAAACAATGTAGATCGAGCATATCTATAAATATTTGAAAAACTTGAAAAATTCACGGGCGTTATTTTCAAGATTTGAAATCTATTTTTTCTCATATCTATAAATCTTGAGATTGAGATGATCGAATTGAGGGTTTTCAGCATCGAAACAACCACTTTTTGTGAATACGTTAATCGCTTTTATATGAATTTTTTCTTTAACCTAAACTCTGTGTATGCTGTATTTTTTCTCTCCTAGAAGGATTAATCTTTATTTATATATATACGGTCTACGTTGCAGGGAGGAGATGTGCAGATACGGTTTAGGTCGAAATAAATGCCGTCCATGGATGAAATCTTTTTCGTTTTAGATGGTTTCGCAAACCGTTCAAAGATGAAAGAGAGAGCATTTTATGCTTTTGGTGATATTTTTGGCATAATAGCTGATAATTGTGCGACCCAAAAAAGAAAAGAAAATAGCGAGATTAAGTACATTTTAAGTTTTAGGATAACCTGGCAAACCAATGCACGAGAAAACTACGATTTCAAAGAAAAGTGGAACAAACTTCTCGAAGAAGACTGCAAGCATCAAAACAAATTCGTAGTTAAATACTCTGGATATCTCTTAGACTTGTACCATGCTTTCTCTCTCATCCGAACTTAAAGCTCTCTCTAAATAAATTCGGAGTTTAGTACTCTGGATGTCTCGTAGATATCTACCCTGCTTTCTCTCTCATCCAAACCTTAAATCTCTCTCTCTCTCTGTGCGTGTCTCTCCACTGTCCTTTCTCTTGTTTATATCTCTCTCTTCTCTCCTCAATATTTAGCATCTCTCTAGGTTCTCCACTGTCTTTTCTCTTCGTTACTTCTCTCCTCAATATTTAGCATCTCTCTAGCAGCTCTCCACATGCGTCTCTCCCTCTTCACTCCATATTGTTAGCGTCTTTTTCTAGGTTCTGGAGCTCTCCATACGCGTCACTCCTCCATGTTGTTCGCATCTCTCCGTGTATACTGCAGTTTTTTTTAGAGAGGTCCGTCTCTCTTCTACTCTTTTGCTCACATGTGAAGTTTGTATAAAGCAGAGGCTCTAAACAATCAAAGTGCATCTTCAAATAGTTTCAAGAAAGGCAATTTCAATATTGAAAATCTTTGTAATAGCTGTAAAATATATTTTCATCTTTAATTATAAAATTGAGAGTGCATCTTCAAATAGTTTCAAGAAAGGCAATTTCAATATTGAAAATCTTTGTAATAGCTGTAAAATATATTTTCATCTTTAATTATAAAATTGAGAGTTTCAAAAAAAAGTATAGATCGAGTAGATCTATAAAAAAAACTTCAAAATCTTAAAAATTAACGGTACAAAAATTCACTACAAGAACTACTCCTTAAAATTTATTTATTTATTTTTCTTGATGTCCATACTCCACGCATCGCAATGTCCATACGACATTGTTCTCTAATTTGATTGTTCAGAGCCTCGGCTCCATAATTTTTCCCCCGTATACTCGATCTCTCCACTTTCCTCTCCCTTGCTGCATCTCTCTCTACTCTCTCCCCTCCACTATACTCTCTCTCTCCTCTTTTGCTTGAACGTAATGTATACCGTCACTCCTCTTTCTCGATCGTGCACAGCACACTATCCAGTATTTGCTCGTCCACAGTGTTTTAGGGCACGTGTGAAGCGGACAGAGGGATGAGAGTCAGAGATGGGTCCATGACGCTGATGCCTCGCTGTCCCCCGCTTTCTCATTGCGTTACACGCGGCGCACATCCGCACCACCCCTCACGCCCACCCAACAATTCGCCCCAGACCACCTCTCTCTCTCTCTCTAACATTTCCCCCATTCTCTCTCTCTAACTTTTACTCTCTTCCTCCTACTCCGTTCTTTTCCCCTCTCTCTCTCTCTTCCACTCCTGTCTCACTCTATAACTCCTCTGGTCCAGGTTTAGAAAATTAATTCACTACGATTTCGCTCCGCATTTCATCTCTCTCTCTCTCTCTCTCTCTCTAAATTCTAAATTTCCTTAGGATCACTCAAAATTCGGGAATTTCATCCCTCGATTTACAGTACTCAGCCCTAGTTCTCTCTCTCAAAGCCAGTTATCTAGAGAGAGAGGACGTAAAGGCCTGGTTCTAGGGTTTCTGGACCTTGGCTTGATGGCGGCCTTGCAAGGGAGCCACCATCTAATGGTCGAGCGCTCCTCAGGCCGAGCTCAGGCTGAATTTCGGCCATCCGATTGTGTGCAACTCCCCCAAGTTGAAGAAATCTCAACCGTCAAAACTCCTGAAAGGGTTAAGAGAGATGAATGGAGTGAAGGTGGAGTCACTTCTCTTCTTGATATCTATGAATCAAAATGGCTCCTTCGAAATCGAGCAAAACTGAAGGGTTCGGATTGGGAGGACATAGCCCGCCAGGTCTCAATGAGAAACTCAGGGACCAAGCCATCGAAGACCCCAAACCAGTGCAAGAACAAGATCGAATCGATGAAGAAACGATACAGAGCTGAGATAGCATGCAATTCTCTCTCTGGGTCTTCTGCATGGCAATTCTATAATCGAATGGATGGGTTATTAAGGGGAGCTTACTCTTCTCAAGTGAGGATCAATGGTGATGGAGCAGGAGAACCAGTAGTTACAGATTTGGGCCTACAAGCCTTACCCAAAGTGGAATTGGACAATTCAGAGCAAGAATTGAAGAGAGGGACTGAAATGGGGAGACCCCAAAATCAGGAAGTTGCAGAGGTTGAAGGCCAAATTCAAGAGAGCAATCAAGAAGATGGGTCTAATACTTTGCCTGATAGGAAAGATAGCAGGAATGAAGATAGTGATACGAGCACACCAAAGAGCAAACTCGGTGATTGTGGAGATGGGTCTCGTAAAGGAGCTCGTTATAAGCGAAGAAAGATAAGAGAGAACGAGAGTGAGTTAGCAGGGAGCATCAGAGCTTTGGCTGATTCAATTTTGAAGATCGAGCATGCTAGGGTTGAAATGTATAAGGAGTCAGAGAGGTTGAGAGCTGAGGTCGAAGTGAAAAGGTCTGAAATGGAGTTGAAAAGGACTGAAGTAATAGCGAAAACACAGTTGCAGATCGCTAAGCTTTTATCGAAGAGAATAAGAAATCAGAGTAACAAGAGGATGGGACCACCACCTTCGGGGTCGGGTGCAGAGGAGACGATGGGTTAGTTCTTCTTGGCCTATAAAAATAAAATCATGCATTGTTCATTTGATATCAATATCCATATGAATTACACGCCAGATAAAATTGTTTCTTACTTGTATTTTGTATTTATTTTATGAGAGTGAGCTTGTACGGTATAATGGGATAAAGTTGCATCTGTGAACATTCAAGAAAAGATGAAGTTGCACGTGTATTACTATGAAGTTGCATCTGTTCTATATGTATATTATCAGTTTTAAATTTCAATGTATATTCTGATTCCCCAAGCTAAAATTTATGGAGAACAATCATTCTTCAGTGAAGCAAGATATCTGACTTGGGCAGTAATTTGGGTCTAAGTAGCAATAATATGCTAGTCAAGTGATGTGCAGCATTATGGTACAAGTTAAAAAACCAAAAATATTTAAGAGGAAAGTTTCTAGTGGTTGCAGGGTGAAAGGCAAACTTAACTTCTTTCTTTTGTTCCTCAGATGTGCTCAAATCTTTCTTTCCTCACTATAGGCTGTCTTACAAGATGAAAGTCTCTTGCGTGATTTTGCAATGACACTTATCCCTTATCATCTCTTTTTTGGGGCATGGCTGGTTTTAAACTTTTTTTTTTTTGCGGCTATTTCAGCGGTAGGAATCAAACTTGAGATGTAGCACTGGTAAGCATCAACTGCTAACCACTCTGTACAAGGGTGGTCAAGGGTTTAAAGTTTTTTTTTTTGAGAGTAAGGTTAACTGGTCAAGGGTTTAAAGTTTGTGTACTCATTCGAACCAGCAAAGTAACTAAGACAAAGAAAATGATTGTGATTTATTGGAAGTTTACTGAAGTATGCCCATATATGAATTCCCTGTATAGGCCACATCGAAAGTTGCAATGCATCAAAGCTTTCCTTGTGTACAATGAAACTAAATGTAAGTAAGAAATATAAGCTGTTATGTACATGATGTACGGGTGTTCTGAATGAGAACTTTACTTCCATGTTAATGGGTGCTTAAAGATCCTTATGCAGAAATTTAAGCTGCATGCCATCTACATTGTTTGGTGGTCCATATTCAGTATAATTTTCTGAAGGAAAAAGTTTATATAAGGTTGCAACCTTATATCATTGAAGTAAAGTGACCTAAAAAATCCCACAAAAGAGAGTGTGTTGGAGAACCCTCCAATTGATCATCTCGACCTCGAAATATATGGACGTGAAGGAAATTCAAGTCAAAAAAATATTGCATCTTGTAACAAGTTATGTGGATTGTCGATTTTCAAGATTTTTTAGTGTTTATTACATTTGCTCCATCTGGAACGATATCTCTAATCAAATTCTAGAGGTGCCTCCTTACTTCTACGGTTTAAGGAGGCAACTTTATACAAACCTCACCCTTTTTTAAAAGGATAGCAATAAATACTTGAGGAAAGCTAGGGAGAAGATTTAGTTTAATCACTTGGAATGGAACAACAATGAACCAAAAGCAACTGGATCACTAGCTCAAACATTTCCTAACTTTGAGACAGTCACATATCAGGTCTCTAGCATCCGATTTTACTGGGATCAGTTTAGGAATGGTGCCAACTGGGTTGGCAGCATTAACTCTTTCTGACTAACTCAAGTAAAAGTGCTGATGATTTGATATTTGCTTCTTGTAACTTCTCTCTTGAATTTGTATTCTCATGCTCTGTTGTTTCTCTCTTTTCTAGACTCTCTCGAGAATCACCAGATTACAGGGTTACTCTAGAAAGGCACTTTACCTATCTAATGGTTCCTAATTCATCAGATTCCCCTAAAGTTGTATTGAAATTGCCTATATGGATGGTATCGCATTTGTTTTCAAAAAGAGGCACTTCATCTGTTGTTTCAAAATGATATCATGGATGCATTGATAAAAATCACTCTGAAGCTTCGTTGTGCACATATTGACTTTTTTTCCCAAGTTAGTTCATGATCCGTAATCGGAGTTCTATAATGCATTTCTTTCTATTTTTTTTATATTCATTATTTTTAGTGCATTCCCTTAAGATATTTTAATCTACCACATTCGGTTGTTGAAAATTGACCGCAATGGGCTTTGAAACATGGCTTAGGTCATGTCCTGTGAAATGAAGCTTTTACTTAAATGGAGGTGTCCTATTGTCATGTGGTCAAATGACAGAAGGTTCCTTATTCCACTTTATGATGCATGGATACTTGACAATGGGCTTTGTATCTGTGTCAGATGCCTTAGAAGTTTAGATATATGTATTCAAAGTAATGGAAATTTTATGTTCTACCTGTGTCTACAGCCACATCCAGGCATCGTGGTTCACACTCTTACTACGGTATAGACTCTTATCTTGATTCATGGTGGTCTATTCTCCTACAAAGATTATTTTTCTCAGATGCAGATCAGCGTTTTGAAGAACTTTTAATGATTATTTGATTGGTTTTACTGTTTTAAGATTGAATGTTCTTAGATTTGTTGGATTCCTGGGATGCCCTGCGTCACCATATTTCTGGGCTATTCGTCATAGAATGATATCGAGTTATTGGCATTTGTTAAATGGCCTACTTTCTTAGTAGTTGGTCAATTTGATTTGCTTAGGTAGATTAGGGGTTGAGCTCATAAAAGCTCACCAGTACTGTTCCAATTAGCATTTTGCAGGATTTCTTAAATCTAGTTAGTATTGTTCTATTTTGTTCTTGAAACTAAATGTAAATTTCATAGTTCATGTAGTTGTTTATGCTTTTAGTGTCTTTCAAACATGACATGCTCTTTTGATTAACAGCGGCATGATGTTGAGGGAAATTTCATTTAATCGAGGGAATTTCCCTTAGAAGCTGCAATATTATGGGTATGTAAGCTAAGACAGTCTTTTGTTTGGGCCAGGGATTGTATGTGAGTTAATTTTGTTCATGTTAATCCATCTCACTGTATAGATGTTTTGGCTTATTCAAGGTTGATGTTTTAGAACTGAGCTCCTCTTTATTACTCTTCTACCATGTAAGTTGCTAAGAAGTGTTTATTAGGGGAGCATAGAGATGACTTGGGTTCTATAATCTGTCACTGTAATGGATGTAGAAACACGCTCTACTGCTTCTGACTCTTCATGATTACATGATGAAATTAAGATAGAGAAAATCAAAACAAGTTGAGGAAACACTTTATTGCTTCTCATTCTTACATGATAATATGATGAAATTGAGAGAGGGAATAAAAGTAAAATCAAAATACGTTGCACTCTTAAAGGAAACCAGAAACCCAGGGTCATTTGTAGTGTTGTAGAGATTCATGATCTCTGAACTCTGAAAGGAATGCTAATGACAAGAATAAGATTCTACGACTAGCAATTCATTGATTTTCAAACCATTTAGAAACTTGGATTTGATCGACTAATCCCTTTGCAATGAATGAAGAGTCAAATGCTTTGGCAATTCCTTGGGATGAATTGATAGATAGAAAGACTTATTATTCAGATGAACTGCGTGGACAATATGGAAGATATGCAAGTGACAAAGGTTTATTCAGCACGGGCAGCTTTATTTGGAATCATGTGGAATTTGCTCATTGTCCTCTGTAATTAATGTAGGCAAAAAATGACACCCAATTAAGGAAGATAGGGTTTTGGTTCTTAATTTACTTCATATCTACCTCCACAAAAAAAAAAAAAAAACAAAAAAAAAAGAAGAAAAAGAAAGGGGTGTATGATTGTTGGAGTTCAATCCCAATTCAATTGATCTCTGGGATTGGGGAACTTGGGCTTACCATAATCTAATAATTATCACCATTATATGAGCTTTATCACAACTATTTGGAGCTGATTACAAGAATTTTGTTCCACCATTTTGCTTTATGAAGGGCCATATCTTCAATCAAACTATAAGTCACTATATCTCTTCTCATTATTTTTATCCATGTCTTTTTGAAAGTTTTTTTTGTCGTTTTTAGAGCCTTTCACTTGTACATAATCGACATTTCTAACTGGTGTGGTGTTAAGTGTATGCTGTATTTGGCCTGCCCACTTAAGTGAATAAGTCTACATTCCCCCATCTATCGCCTATTGGATTTGCCCCAAAGTTCTCTTGTATGTATTTATTCCAAATTCTATCTTTTATTGTCTTGCTACTCGTCCATCTTAATATATACATCTCAACTGCTCTCATTTTATGGATATGTTATTTCTTGACTGCATAGCATTCGGTCCCGTGAAGTATAGCTGGTCGTACAATCGATCAACCTATAAAATGTTTACCATATTCTATTGTTCAATAAAAAATAGGTTCTGGTAAGGTTGCGGCTTCATACAATAGCACTTAAAAAGCAGCCAAGAAACTCAAATCCGACGCCAAAAAACCGTGCGGTGGCTTGTGAATTCATTTCCGCCTCAACTGTGGAATTTAGAGCTCCGAAGAAGTATAAATCCGGCATATTTAGGCCTATGAATTCATTTCCGCCCCAACTGTGGAATTTAGAGCTCCGAAGAAGTATAAATCCGGCATATTAATGAAATCTTGAAATGGACAGTCCAGAATAGAGTCACGACTATAGTTAGCAAGTCTGGAATTATCAATAAATCGATTCAAATATAACCTCTTTCTCTATAAATTAATAACGGTAATATTCTCTCACCCTTTAAATTATTAAAGACACGGATCTCTCTGTAATTCAACGACTCAATTTTTTTTCTCTCTCAAACCGTTAAAAACAACGATTCTCTTTATCTCTCAAAATCAAAACAAAACCCTGGTGGTTCTCTCTCGAAACTCTACGATGGGTGATGGTCACCCAGGGCTCTCTCTATAGAACGATGGAGTTTAGAGATGGCAACCATGGCTCTGATGGGTGACCTCAACTCTCTTTCTTTCTCTATCAGATGGGTGAATGGTGAGTTTATGAGGAGAAAATCCTAGAGAAGCAGATTAAAAATTTGTATTCAGAAATAGTGAGGAGCTAAATCCAAGCTATGATGATAAAGCAATTCGTTATCCAGAATGGCTATGAATGGGTGACCATGGTTCTCTCTCTTTCTCTCTATATCAGATGATTAAATTTAGGATTTTAAGTTACTGTTAAGTTTTGTTAAGTTTTGGGATTTTGATTGAAGTTTAGCTTTCAACAATTTTATGCATATCTATTATAAGTTAAATTTGGGGATTTTTTATTGAAGTTAGAGTTAAATCTCTTATTTCGAAGAGTATTGGGTTATTTCTCTATCAGATGGTTTTTTCTAATATATTTTTCTCCAATCTAATCTTTGTTAAATTTGAGGATTTTTTATGCAATTAGTTTTTCTGTAAGATCTCAATCTATTTTTCCCCAATCTAATGCAAGGTAATTTTTTTGTTAGTTTTCTCTGTAATATTAAATTTGGTTTTTTTTGCTAAACCATCTTATCTGTTTTTCCCAATCAGCTTGTTTGTCTCAGTAATGTTAAATTTGGGGATCTAATTAAGTTAGTTTTCTCTTTAATGTTAAATTTGGGCTTTTTTTTTTTTTTTTTTGCTAAACGGGGATTCTCTTCCCAAAAAAATACTCTGTTTTAGAAGGTAAAAGATAGAAATTTCAAAAAACAGAAATAGGTTATTTAACTCTCCAAAAAAAAGTACAAGTTGTTTATAGCAACTTTTTTTTGAACTGTTTTTTCAGCAAGCTGAAGAAAACGCGTTTTTTTGCCAATGTATTGAAAAAGGAGCAGATTAAACCGTTTTCTAAAGAACAACGATTTTTTTGAAAAAAATCGTGTTTAAATCGGTGACTTGCTGACCATGGTCACGAGTAGCTCTCAGATTGACCATTTTTGAGGCCTGAAATCCATTTGTTTTCCCTTTCCCATGTTTTTCACTTTATCTACAATAAAATGTTTAGCATTAAAGTAGAGAACCTGAAATATCTCCGTTTATTTGGAAGTACTTCTTAGAGGGGTATCCATGTTATGCTTGTTCCTGTTTTACAGGAACAGGAGCACCCTAGCATCCTATAATCTAATGTACTATGTAACCAACAATGGTGTATTAGGCATCGCCGTACAATGAATGTATGGTTGGCGATGGAGTCGGACGCCGACATAAGTGGAATGATGGATCCCACTCTCAATGGTATTCGAAATGGATGTGGTGATGCAATGGATCATCAATTTTTCCAAGTCTATTGGATTATAGTACATTTTACCAATGGTAAATTGCATCCCTCTTCAATAATATATATCTTTGGAATATATGCTATTAGGTTACATGAGTTGGTTCAAGTAGAAGATTAAAAAAAAAAAAAGTAGGTGTAAAAGGAAATGGTTGAAATTAGTGATAAAATATTTAGGGATTTATGGACCCACTGAGGATATGATTCTTGATAAAGCAGGATGACGAACTAGGATTCGTGTAGCCGATCCCAAGTAGTTGGGAAAATACTTTGATGATGATGATTTTTTTATTTTTTATAAGTAAGTTTTGGGGATTTTTTAGAATTTTATTTTTTCATAATAAAGTTTTTGAAAGAAAATTCCGGGAAGCTTAAAAAGCAAACATTTAGTAAAAATAAATAATTTATATAAAGTTGCAACTTTATACTATAGAAGTACAATGCATAGAAGTACAATGCATATAAAGTTGTAATTTTATACTATAGAAGTACGGTGCACCTCAAAAGATCTATTAGAAAAAAGTGTTTTGAAGATGGAAAACCATTAAATCGATCATCTCGATCTCAAGATATATTAAAAAAAGCAAAAAAAGAAAAAAATTTTAAGTCGTAAAAATAATATATCTTGTAATGAGTTACCTAGATCATTTATTTTCAATATTTTTTAATGTTCATAATCAGTTCGATTTATACTTTTTTAAAAAAAATTTAAATTTCATAATTAAGGTTGATCATGGGTTTTCAACTATCGTAAAGTTGTCGGCACAAAACTAAATCTTCTAACAAAATTTTGAGGTACGCCTAATTTACGTAGTAGGCACCTCATACAAACCTCACCCTAAGAAACATGACGTTAAATACTACTCCCTTTTGAAGAATCACCCCATCATGGAGAGTAAAACCATGTGTATCGTTTATCTCAACCTTCCCTACGTAAACATGCAAGGCCTGATCACCACAGTGAGCTACCATGGACAATGGAGATCATCTCCATATACGTCCATCCATCAGAGTTGTAGATCATCCCCTCCATTCATGATAGGCCTCCTATGGTCAAGATTCGTTGCGTCTTGGACTGGTTGGATCATTGTCCCTCTCTCTTTCTTTTTTATTAAAAAAAAATACAAAATAAAGAAAGTTAAGTTCCTTTCAATCACTGCTATTTTAAACTCAAAAGGAAATATTTGCCCAATTAGGCTTCAACTATTTATGACATCTTTTATTTGGCCAGTACTCTGATGCGGTTCCTATGAGGCCTAGGTCTTATAAAACAAGAAATGCTCCTTCTCAAAACCTCATCGGAAAATATTTTTGGCATGGGAAACTGTTATGACGGTTCGAGACTCTATTTTAACCTTTGGTTATATATTTTGAAGTTTAAAAAATAGTACAGATTTTACGAATGTATAAATATTAGAAAATAGTACAGATTTTAACCTTTGGTTATATATTTTGAAGTTTAAAAAATAGTACAGATTTTTCAAATGTATAAATATTAGAAAATAGTACAGATTTTAACCTTTGCTTATATATTTTGAAGTTTAAAAAATAGTACAGATTTTACAAATGTATAAATATTAGAAAGTTGACAATCTAGATATATGTTGCAAGATACATTAATTTTAGACTTTGAAATCATTTTTTATTTATATCCATAAAAGTAAAGGTCAAGATGATCAATTTGATGGTTATCCAATTGCGAAACCGGAGATTTAATATGCGGCTTTATTTT